CTGAGGTTCTATTCCCTTTCTTTGTTAAGCTATGTTTTGGCACTCTAGAAGGGGCATAAACATCTGTATACTTCTAAAATTTCACCAGTGTTAATTTAGCATCTGAATAATAATAATAACAATAATAATACCTGTTAGGGAGTGTTAATGCCGTAGCTTCAATCGGGTATAATGATAAGTTCTTTATTCTAAACGGGTATAATACCCAATTACAGAAAATAATAACATAGTCTTGTATAATGCCTGAAGAAATGAATAAAATGAAAAGAAATAGAACAAAGAAACCAATATAATCTAAAAAAGTATTTGATGAGTAAATAATAAAATTAAATGAATTATTACAAAGAATTCAATCTAATTCAATTCAAGTCAATCAATTTCCCTTGTTCACAAACTCCTCATAATATGCTATGGAGTCAAAGTGAATGTCATATTTATTAGCAACTGTATTGAATGAAGACTACATAAAACAAATGGGGGATTGTATGAGCGAGTTGGTCCTTGGAGTCTCCAGGTGGAATAATTCTGTGGTATGAGAGTTTTGCCTAGGAAATTTCAGAGCCGACAAGAGAGGAGAACAATCAATACTGTTGTCAGTGATTTTTTCAAACATTCGAGTGATAAAGTTTCTCTCCAAAAGAGGAAGTTGTACTTCGAAACGAACGTTTTGCCTAGAAATTTCAGAGCGGAGAAGAGAGGAGGATAATCAATACTGTTGTGCAGTGATTTGTTTAAACATTTGAGTGATAAAGTTTCTCTCCAAAAGAGGAAGTTGTACTTCGAAACGAACGTTTTGCCTAGAAATATCAGAGCGGAGAAGAAAGGAGGATAATCAATACTGTTGTGCAGTGATTTGTTTAAACATTTGAGTGATAAAGTTTCTCTCCAAAAGAGGAAGTTGTACTTCGAAACGAACGTTTTGCCTAGAAATTTCAGAGTGGAGAAGAGAGGAGGATAATCAATACTGTTGTGCAGTGATTTGTTTAAACATTTGAGTGATAACGTTTCTCTCCAAAAGGGGAAGTTGTACTTCGAAACGAACGTTTTGCCTAGAAATTTCAGAGCGGAGAAGAGAGGAGGATAATCAATACTGTTGTGCAGTGATTTTTTCAAACATTTGAGTGATAAAGTTTCTCTCCAAAAGAGGAAGTTGTACTTCGAAACGAACGTTTTGCCTAGAAATTTCAGAGCGGAGAAGAGAGGAGGGTAATCAATACTGTTGTGCAGAGATTTGTTTAAACATTTGAGTGATAAAGTTTCTCTCCAAAAGAGGAAGTTGTACTTCGAAACGAACGTTTTGCCTAGAAATTTCAGAGTGGAGAAGAGAGGAGGATAATCAATACTGTTGTGCAGTGATTTGTTTAAACATTTGAGTGATAACGTTTCTCTCCAAAAGAGGAAGTTGTACTTCGAAACGAACGTTTTGCCTAGAAATTTCAGAGTGGAGAAGAGAGGAGGATAATCAATACTGTTGTGCAGTGATTTGTTTAAACATTTGAGTGATAACGTTTCTCTCCAAAAGAGGAAGTTGTACTTCGAAACGAACGTTTTGCCTAGAAATTTCAGAGCGGAGAAGAGAGGAGGATAATCAATACTGTTGTGCAGTGATTTGTTTAAACATTTGAGTGATAAAGTTTCTCTCCAAAAGAGGAAGTTGTACTTCGAAACGAACGTTTTGCCTAGAAATTTCAGAGCAGACAAGAGAGGAGGACAATCAATACTGTTGTGCAGTGATTTGTTCAAACATTTGAGTGATAAAGTCTCTCCAGAAGAGGAAGTTGTACTTCGAGATGCGCGTCATGCGTATTATTTAATATATGAGAAATTTGAAATTATTGTTCCATAGGATATTAATTTTCTCATCAATCATTGCTCTTAATATTTGGTCAAGGGAATGAATATGAAAATTCTTTGCCTTCACTTTATGTTCTACCTATTATATTTCAATGGACATTGTTCACAGTTAACTAATAATATTTATTCCAACGATACTTTGGCCAAACTAGATCAGGTATACGAGAAAATGATAACAATACTAGATGAGGATTGAATATTTATAAGTCTAGTTTGTATTCAACCGCTTCATCAGTATTAGGTACGTAAAGCAAACAGCTCCTTCAGAATACAATCATTTTCACATTTCAAAGCAATTTACCTTAATTTTGTATTGAAATATGAAGACCGACTGAACATGAATATTTTTAAATCAAAATTTAATTCAAGTATTTTCATACTCTCCTACTTTGTGACAGATATCTTGCTGTGAATGGAAAATCTTTTTGGGCAGTGAATAGCAATTTTATTTCTGATAACTACTCGAAGTTGATTACATATTCACAGATCTCTTGGTGAAACATCGTTTACCTGTAATCAATAAAAAACAATTCACGAGATTAGATTATTTGTTGACAATTTGTTCGGGGTATTATCCCATTTTCACTTTTGAAAATGGGGGAACACCCTGAAACAATTGTGAACGAACAATGTAATTTTAAGAAACTGAGCCAAGTGTTTTTCATTCAATATATTTGATCACTTCATATATTTTCTTGTACTTATGATATCATTTCAATTCTCTTCCATGGTTCAGAATGATCCAAATATCACATATAGGTGAAGACTTTTCTACACGGGATTGTCCCATATTCACAAAATCAACGACAATGAAGCAGTTCATTTTCGCGTTCGGTATAATTGTGGAGAAAATAATTTTCGATATCTCAAATTTATTATTGAGGATGATTAAGGATGTCAATTATCTTCACTTGTAACAAGGTAATTCATCTTTATACTGTTTTTATGGATTATTGACCGTTGTGAATCTATGAGCAGAAACGATATTTCTTTCCAATTTCTGTTAGATACCAAGGATGATATGAAAAACTTTGAAAATCTAAATAAAGAAGAATATTTGTAAAGAATCCTATCATTATTCAAGGACGTATACGTATTATATAATATGTCCCAACGATTATACCCATTTTATAATAATATTAATAATAATAATAATAATAATAATAATAATAATAATAATAATAATAATAATAATAATAATAATAATAATAATAATAATAATAATAATAATAATAATAATAATAATAATAATAATAATAATAATAATAATAATAATAATAATAATAAGAATAATAATAATATAAATGAGTTCTTCATTCTCAACAGGTATAACGCCGAATTACAGAAAATAATAAAACAATATTGAATACTAACTAAATAAATAAAATGAGAAAGATATAACAAAGAGCTCAATCTAATCTAAAAAAAATAGTAACTTATAACTACGTTAAAGCATTCATTGAAATATTACAAAGAACTTAATCTAAATCAATTCATTTTGGTCAATTTTCTTTGTTCACATAACTCCTGATAATAAATTCTATGGAGTCAAAGTGAATGTCACAATTATTGGCAACTCTATTGAATGTAGACTCCATAAACCAAATGAGGGATTGTATAAGGGAGTTGGTCCTCGAAGTCTCTAGGTGGAATAATTCTGTATTACGAGAATTTGGCCTAGGAACACGAAATTTCAAATCGGACAAGAGGGGAGGACAATCAATACTATTGTGCAGTAATTTGTAAAAAAAATTGAGTTTTAAAGTTTCTCTCCTGCTTTGCAATGAGATTAAACTAAATCGACTCAATAATTCGTTATGATTTACTCCTCTCTGTGTATAAACTTTATCCTCCCTCCAAACTAAGAATTTCAAGAACCTTCTCTGAATAGCCTCAAGATGGCGTTGATGGAAAGTGTAAATGGGATGCCAGATCATGCTGCCATACTCCAACTTGCTACTTATTAGGGTATTAAATAGTCCTATGAATGTTGAGGAATTATTAAAATATTTGCCATTACGTATAATGAAGCCATATATTTTCGCAGTAGATGAAATAAGTTGGGTGATGTAAGGGACAAAGGAAAGCTTCTGGTCGAAGACTACACCAAGATCTCTCACCTTATCAGAACGAGAAATAACCTGACCACCGACGCTGTAATCACAGTCAATTCGGTCTCTTTTCCTTGTTGAAGACACAACATTACACATTGACACATTCAAACTCAAATAATTGTCCTCACACCAACTAGCAACATAGCGCGAACTGAAGTTGAACACACTTGTCCTGTGATCTAAATTCATGATATATTTTCAAATCGTTTGTCAAAATTTTAATTTTGACATGCTCATTCTGTAGATATACAAATGTGAAAGGGGAAATAATTTCGATTTAATCGAATTGAACTTATACAAATTGAATTATGTAAAATAAAATTTGTCATTAGTTAAAGCTGCCGGTCTAAAACAATATATTTCTTTATGGAAAATTAAAACAGATTCAGTCAGTATCCAGTGGTGATTGGAAATGAATACGCCCCCCCGCTGAAAGTCTCGGATGCCCCCCCGTTGTAAGTCACAGGGTCTCATTATTTACATGAGTTTCTTTATGAAGGCCGACCGACCTATACTCCTCGCCGCGATCTCCCTCAAAAATAGAGCATTCATTATTTCTCCATAGACAAGTTATATATTACGGTAAATAAGAATACCATTAGAATAAAAATTATACAAGTTAATTTTCTCTAGCCCTTCGCTCTTAGTTTTTTTTTGTGACGAGACTGAGGAAACGTCATTGAAATATATCGATTTTCCATGGTCAACCGATGATTAATGAGTGAGTTCTTGTACCACAAGATGAAATTTAACTATAGTAAGTTGGCTTGGAAGATGATATATTCAGAATATGCTTAATTCGAATCATGTATATATATATATTTATATATATATATATATATATATATATATATATATATATATATATATATATATATATATATATATATATATATATATATATATATATATATATATATATGAATTACATAAAAGCTATAACATAATGAATACTAAACACTTATTACCTCAATTCTTTCTGCTTATTCCAAAAAAATATTTTTGTACACACAAAGATGATGATATTTGCCGGTCTCCGTAGCTTAGTCCGTAGAACTCCCGACTATAGTGCGGCAGTACTCGGGTTCGAGCCCCGCTGAAGGCATGGGTGTTTGTGTTTGCCTATGATTTAAGTAGTTTAAATAATGAAATATATTGGGTAATTTACATCGATTACAAGCCCAATGGCCGTTCAGAACCGGCGTTAAACTGTAGGTCTACTAATTATTAATTAAATAAAAATGGTGATATTGAAAGAGTTTTATCAATATTTTTGTTGTTGAAGATGAAATTATATAAAAATTCAAATCGATCTCTTAACTCAATGTTTCACAAACATTAGGACAAGAGTTTGATTTCAATTTTGATTTCATCATGTTTCACCAAGAGGTATGTAAGAATTCAATCCCAGTTAATAAAAATATATTGCTAATGTATTGCTTATCAGCTGATCGGTAGCTTTACCGACCATTTTTAACTCTTCAATGGGGTACCTAAGCAATGTATATAGGTTATAACTATACTTTTGATGTATTAAGTAATTCAAAATTCGACTACAGTAATTTATAGACTATCCAAATTGTCAAATAGTTCAATGTCAAATTGATAGCAAATTACAATTAACTGTATGATCTAATTATCCTATTGGAGAAACTTTTAAAATTTTTCATCAAACCTAAAACAAAATCCAGCATATCAATTCAATAAGTATATGACATGTAATGTTTTTTGGCCAAAAACAACACCGTAATCATGCCTTAACTACCGAACTCACCAGATTTGGCTCCCTGCGACTTTTCCCTATTCCCAAAACTGAAGAGACCAATGAAAGAGCTGATGACCAAATCGAAAAGCGCATTTCAGAAGTTCTCAGGGATTTGAAGAAGCTCTGGCAAAGTGCATTAGGTATATCTGAGGGGGATGATTACTTTGAAGGTGGCGAAATGGATATAGCTGAATAAATTGATACTTTCCGAAAAAATTCAGATTTCATCTTTTTTTTGAACAGACCTCGTATTCATTGAAAACAATAAATTAAAAATTAACACACTGGACTTAAGTTCAAATGAATATATTCAAAAACTCTACATATGTTTCGGGTAGTTAACCCATTATCAAGACTATACAATATTACTCTTAATAATGGGTTAACAACCCGAAACATATGTACAGTTTTTAAATGTATTTAGTGAAACTTAAGTCACGTGGTTTAATTTATTGTTTTTAACATAATGTTTCACCAAGAGATAAGCGAAACCTACGTGTCATTTACATTCATTCAAGTAAAAAGTTTACGGAAGATTTGTCCAATCCTCCTTATGAGATTTTGCTAAACCCTTCACCGCGTTTTCATCTTACAGAGTCAGTTAATGCTCCGGAATGAAGTTTTATTTATAGTTCAATCAAGGTGTTCATTGAATGCTCAGGGCGACATCATTACCTTTATACGTTACATTTTGATAATTTTAAGAAAATATCATCTAAGTCCTATCACCTAGTTCATTTGAGGCTACTTCTCTTATTATCATTGTTATTCATACTTCCATATTATTCACATTAGATTTTCTAGGTCATTGAAGACATCAAAATATTGTCAAATACATGTATCATTAGTACTTGTCATTTCAATCATGATATTGATAGAAGATGGAATAGATGTTTTGTCCTTCTTTCAAAGTGTCAGGAAGCTGTAAGAATTGAAAAAATTATTTTTATCTGATAAATAATATAAATAAATAGTAGGTACGTAACTTGTCATAAACGGTCGTAAGTTTCTTGTTGTGTTTCTGAATTCAACACGTATAATTCAAAGAGCTAAATTCTGCAAATATCTCACAAATATCAAATTCCTGTACAGATTAGTGAAGAGTGTCAGACGTTTTTATATTCAAACGTACTTTTTATGATACTGTGACACGTTAATGATATGGTGTAACTGCCTTTTGACATGGGTCTAGGTATTTCTGGGAATATAGCAATTAAGAATTTGTGAAATTATATGTAATTTTGAAGCCCCTTGAAATTAATTGTAAACTAATAACGAATCATTATCTGGACATTCTCTCGTAGGTACCTAACCCCTTTAGGCATTTGATGGTCCCCTATCATTTCATTAGAAAATAACGCCTTTCTACCCTTTGACAATTTTTAACGGTATGATGAATGATGCTTCTTTCAGACAGCATTTTTTGTCAATGCCATCTGTAGTAATCACTACTTCGATTTAATGTGTTTAGTTTTTATAAATCTAACCCAAGTAAAAGACAGTTATTTAGATAAAACAGAGGAATAAACTTTAAATATTTATAGTTCTTGAGAATGTTTTTGTTAATAATATTATTTAAAGATCTCGAAATATGTTTGTTGAATTTAGCTTGTCTTGAATCTGCTGGAGACAATGGAATATCGTTTGATTTATTCAAAAATAATGCATATGGCCCTACGCATCAATACCTTGTTATCTAAATTCCTATAGCCCTTTTTCACTACGGGCCTTCTACGTTTATTCATTATAAGCGATAGGCTTAACATCCATATCTGACTTAGTATTCTATAATATAATCTAACCTGTACCTCTGCGAGACGTGCGTGTCCTCAATATAAGGAACTTACTCCCTTCGTCTGGGGTGAAATTCGACAATAATCTTCATAACGAGAACAGAAATTCTAAAAGTTCATACGTGATGATATGAAAAAATATTCAACTGAATATAACCTTATTAAGGCAATGAGACGTTTCTTCTGTTTTGAAAAAATTCAAAATTTGGTGGTTAGGATATTAGATCGTAGGTATCTTAGTTTCAAAGTATGTTCAAATACTAGATTCAGTAAAATAATTCAGATAAAGGTTCAAATTTGTTTGAATGTGACATCGTAATACGCTCAATGACCGTTGTAGCAAAGCTGATAAACAAGAACATACCTATATCATTGATAAAAGCTATCTACCTTATTATGAAAATTTACAAAGGCGGGGATTGAAACTAATTCATATCATTAACTTATTAGTTATGTCAATATTCTTCACAAAGAAGGATAAAATAAAACACCTTTTACAGTTCACTACAAAATTAGATAAACATGTTCTCAAAAGAACAACTGAGTATGCACATACATAAATGCCACAGTAAACATCGACAGGCTTTGCTCACCCATAAAGCGCGCGCTTCTTCGAATATAGTAGTCACATAGTTGACAGAAATGCAGTGCTGCCTATAATTCCGTCGTTCCGTAGTGTGAAGTGTGGTTCTAGTATAACAGATGGCGCCCCTATCCCAGTTTCAATGAAGATCGAACAGTACGTTCTTGGTGAGCTCTTACGTGTTGGGAATATGCATTGACAAGTAAAACAATCTTATTGAATAATATATATAGGGACATGTGTCGAAATTTATTAAAAATTCCTTTATTAAAAATACTGATTTATTTTTTTTGTTAGGTACCTACATTTATTCGAGGAACCGTATGTACGTGAGCCGTATATATATGAACTCTGTCTGTCTTATTATTAGTAGATAATTGGCTAATTAATGATTCTAGTTTATACCTATCAGAATTTAAAAATTTTCTGTTGAAGTTTTTCATCTAGAACTAGAAATAATAGAGTGCGCGAGTTGAATTTTTGATATATATTGTACAATTTTGATGGATCCTCTTCATCCTTGTATTTAATATTCAATTTATACAATTTTCGTCAAAATTTCAATGGTAATAGATTTGTTCAAGCTTTCAAGTACTTACTATTGATTTTTTCAAAAAGAAGTGATTGATGAAATTGCTTTCTTAACTTTCTTAACATTAATTTCTTATATATAAATAGATATTTGCAATTTTTAAATAACATTCATTTCTTTATCATCGATAATGGAGTAATTTTTATTCCAAAAATTACACTAACCACTACATAGAAGCCACTTTAAATAAAGCAGCAAAAATACCGCCGAAAAATGTATAAAAATAGCTATGAAAAACATAAATAAATATGTACGACTTGGCTAGATGAAAAAATATCAAGTCGTTTCAGCAAGAGGAAAAAAATGAAACAATAAATACGACAGCTATAAGTTTAATAAAGCCCAAAGGCAATACATATGGATGATAACTGTACATCGGATATGCAATAACAAATAACATTGACAGGTCTGAAATTCGCTTTCTATACATCTTTAAACATTAAAGAAACTTTGGAGATAATAGGGTGAAATTTGGCATTATAAACTCCAAAATCAGACAAGATCGAAATAGTGATATTCGTATACATTTCAGGATATTTTAGGATACATTTTTACCCTTTTAGCCCTAATTTTAAATAATTTTATATACAACTATACATTTATAGGCAAGTCAGCTTATTTACACAGTTATTGCACATTGAAATATACATATCTTATCACTGACTGTTGTACAGATCGAATTTTGAATACAGAATATTCCGTTTACAAGCAACATTAATTCCAAATTTGATTACAAGGTTTATTCTAATCATTTTTACCTGTGAAATGAGTATTGATTCGTGTATTTATAAAAATGAGCAATTTATTGTCAATATGAGCAAATGAGCATTTTCGATAATGTGGTAAAGGAGATCATCTAAATCTAATATTTTATTTACAATGAGTATTATTAAGACTGGCTGATATACATCGAGAGCTTTACTTGAAAATAAGAAGTGTCCTTTGTACAAGCAAAATAAATTAATCGTAGAAACTGGCTTTAAGGAAAAAATAATATTAATTATTCTATAATCACATGTAATAAATCATCCAGAATACTAATCGGATCACCACCATAATGGAACCGCTCTTAAATTCAAAAAGTTCGTTAGACGTCACGAAGGGTCTATAGTTTTTCTGTTCAAATTCGTGTGGAGAGATTCGTTTTCAGCATGAATATTTCTTCTTGTTCTGGACATGAACACTTTCGGACAATGAGCTACGGTACACTTAAACATTTCCGTCAAATGATTCTTTTCGCAATGTTCTTTCAGCTGAAGCGTCGTACTAAACGCCGTCCTACATATTCTACATGGAAGTTTGCCTTCTTTGTCTGCTGTGGGAATATCTTCATCAATGCAGTGCACGTATTTTATAGGACTTGGAGGTGGTG